GTTTTTAATCTACAGTATCAAACTACAAAGTACTGAAACTCACCTTGGTGCATTAAATATGACTCCATTTGGTTTGTGAACTTCTTCAAACAAATGTTTTCCATGTTTATTGTCCAACAGACTCTTTTGTTRTTTCTAACAGTGTTGGATGAGCAGGTGAGTTCAGAACAGGTGAGGTGTGATGGTTTCCTCAGGTGTAACGATCAACAGCTGAGGGAAGTTCAGGGTCAGCTTTGGAGCAGCACCATGACCGGAAGAAGTGAGGCCACACAGACCTGCTGGTGGACCATCAGGTCTGGATTATTATCTGGTCCAGGAGAGTCCAGGAGGGCTCTTTTAGACCCAGTGTCACAGAGGGGGACTAGGAGGAACCAGTTCAAGTCCTCACCACACCGGGGTTCGTTTTTATGAGGGGAAGCTGAGAGGTCTGCTGTTTCACAGTACTCTGACCCCTGCATTTATTGATTAATAAATGGATTAACACTGGGATTGTGGGTTTCTGAGTCATAACCCTAAACTGTTACCTCTGCCTTCTTCAGATCCAGTTTCCTGTGCCTTGTAGGAGGAAGTGGCAGCAGTCCTCACTCTTGTCTGATCTAATACCTGACATTCACTCACCTTCAGCAGTTTCATTTTCTGATATTGGACCATCTTCAGAGAGATCTGAGCTTTTTTTCCTCCTCGCTCACCTGCAAACCAGGAACCTAACCTGAACCTGCCTCTCCCACAAGACCTGCCATTCACTCCCCTCTGTTCATCCCCTCACTGCATCTGTGGATCCCCTGGACCATTCTGTCTCAGATCTGAAGATCTTCTTGCCCTGGCCTCTCCACCTGACAGAGTTCACATCAGCTCATTCCTTCCTCATTGTTTCTTGCTCACCGGACCTCAGGCAGCTACCTGAGGACTCCCCTCCTCCTCCATCTGTGAGGATCACTGACAGATAAAACATTAGTTTTGGTTAATTTCACCATGCAAAGAAAATGTTTCCTCTGTTCCATGGTCTGTCTCACAGAGCTCCAATGATCAAATCCACTGAAGAGCTGAAACCTTTTCTAGTTCATGTCCTGATACATCTCAGTAATCCAGGTAAAAAATCAAAAAGAAAAAAATTGTTTTGTTTGTTTGTTTTGAGCCATTGGTTCAGATATGTTGACGACACCTGGGTTAAAATTAAAGCCCAGGAAGTCCAACATTTCACTGATCACATCAACTCTGTGGATGAATATAT